TGAATTTGAACGAAAATTGACGTGCTAGCTAATTTTGACGTGTAGAACATCGTGGTGAGGTTAGTTTTTAGATATTATGAGTTTTTAATGGAGCGACCCGAAATAAGTCAATTTACGGTTAAGTTGACCCGGGTTGCGTTTTAGTCGGTTTAAGTCGCATATGGACAATCCGATTGCGACGTTAATGATTATAATTGATGCTGATTATTGTGAATGACTTTTACAACGATTATTGATGTTTGACTATTTTTTCCATATTTGGAATTAAGTGAATTATTTGATAATGATGTGGTGTGATTAAACATGATATTTGCGACGGTTTGTTTATAATTAATACTTGATGATATGTGATGCGATGATATGTTTTCTTGATGTGGATAAATATGGAGACGTGGGCTTTATGCCAAATTTTGATGTGCGATGATGATGATATTTGTTGTGTCGTGTTTGTGATGTCGTGTGTCGAGTCACATACATTGCATTGGAAACGGGGGCTTTTATGCCAAAGCGACGAGGGCTTTTATGCCAAGCGACGATGGGATTTATGCCAAATGTCCCTAATTATGGACGAAGCGATGGGTACCACATGCATAACATAGTCGTGTCTCATGGAGTCGGTTATGTTTATTTTTGAGTCTTTTGGCGTTGAGTTTTATTTGATGTTTTATGACGAACTGCGATGATACATGATACTTTATTTTGTGATGATTTTTGTGTTGAACATAAAGTGAATATATGTGATGATTTCATGATGAGTAAGCGATGAATATAACATGACGATAAAGCGACGATATGAGTTTATGGCGATGAAGTTTATGTCTTGTTTTGGTATGATTATGATGATTATGTGACGAAATTAAAGTGTTGATTTTATACACTAAATGATGATTTAAAGTGTGTGATATTTGAATATGTGTTGACATACTCTTATTAATCCTATATCATTTATGATTCCGAAACTATATATCTATTTTATCATGCCTTTAATTATATGTTTTGGAGTATCTCACCCTTTACTTGTTTCGCCGTTGCCTTTATATTGGTAACATGCAGGTGATCTGCGAGGATGATGAGGATTAGCTCGAGTCTCTTTATTTTGAGTCGCTCTTCTCTGATAGTAGTAACACTTGGGTTTTGGGTGATGTTATTATTTTGGATATGATAGTTTATGTATATTATCTTATGATGTTATAACTTTATGTATTGATGATAACATGATGATATATACATTTTGTGAACACATCCGCTGTGCTGTGAATATTCATATGTTTATATGATGATTTATGATATGAATCGGTATATCCGACTTTTGACTTTTGTGGTGTGCATTGTAATGCAAAGTGATGAAAACACGAATATGTGATACCTCAATTTATGTTTGGATGAAATTTTGAAACTCTGATTTTATTATTAATTACGAGGGGTAGAATTGGGGTGTTACATTAGTGGTATCAGAGCAGGTC